TCCCGGGGCTGTGGTCTGTCCGGCGGGTCTGTCCGAGGGGTCTCTCCTGGGCTGGGGTCTGTCCCGGGGCTGGGGTCTGTCCTGAGCTGGGGTCTGTCTGAGGGGTCTGTCTGAGGGGTCTGTCCTGGGCTGGGGTCTGTCCGAGGTGCCTGCCCAGGGCTGTGCGCGCACAGGTGGGAAACACCCTCTGGTTTGCGGGGTGACCTCCTGCTGGGGGCTGTGCCGGGGGGCTGTGCCGGGGGGCCGGGCTGTCCCCGCAGCACCGGGCAGGGAGGTTTCCAGGCTGGCTGGACTTTGCCCAGGAGAAAGGGATCATCTGTTCCCACCGTGGGAGGGGAGAGGGGGCAAAGCTCTGTGCCTGCTGCCCCTGGACGGGAGGAGTGAGGACAAAAAGAGGGATCTTCTTCCCTTCCTCGCAGCTCTGGGGAGTTTCTGCAGGGCTGGCCTGGTTAAAGCAGGCACGGGGGATGCCGGGCAGCTTGTCCCTCCTGGAAACCCCCTGCCTGCTCCAGCACTCACGGTGGCCAAGGATCCATCTCCTAGACAGTGGTGAGGTCAGGTTGGCTCTGCAGAAGAAACGCTGGTGCTGCTCCCTGGCTGGGGTGGCTGGAAGCAGGTCCTGATGGCTCCCAGGAGCTGTGCCTGCAAAGAGCCCTGGTCCCAGGTGGATCCAGACCCCGGTGTCCCCGAGGTCCCCTTGGCAAAGATGCAGATGTGGCTCAGTGAAGCAGGGCTGCATGCCCTGGGAGGAGTGGGACCCTGTGACACTGCTCTTTCCTAGGAAGGTGCTTTCCAAGCTCCTTCACTCTGGAAAAAAAATCCACCAAGAGTTCAGCTGATTGCAAATAATTTATTTGGGATGCCTATAATTGGAAAACCAGGTCATGGTTAGCAGAGGAGAAGGGCCTTTGGGAGCAGTCCCTGCCATGCACCTCCCTGCCTGTCCTCAGGGAAGCATCCAGCCCCCACTGCTGTGCCTGTTTGTGGCACACTGCTCCTGGGAGTGAGGGACACCAAGTGTCCTGGGACTCGTGAGTGTTAACTGGGAAGCTGGTCATTCCTAAATGGGTGTTCTGGACCCTAAAGTGACACAGAAAACATCAGTGTGTGAACGGAGTTTTGTGTTGACCTTAGAGAAACTAGAAGTGTGATTCTGTGCCACAGGAATGTTTGCTTGGGATTTCTGTGCAGCCATGGGTGGGTTTTCCCAGGAAATGGATCCAAAGAGCTGAGGGTGCTCCTGTATCAAGGCTCATCCTTGCAGCTGGTGGCTGGATCATTCCCAGCTGAGCTGCATCAAACCCACCAAAGTCATCTGGGATTCTGAGACATTTTGCAGAGGCTGCTGCATCTAACGAAGGCACCAGCTCCTTCCTTCCCAGGGGGCCTTGGATAAATCAGGGCTTGTTTTTCTAAGCCTTGCCCCCTGGGGTGTCATTAACAAATTACCAGGCTGTGTTGTGGAGGCTGGGGGAGCTGCAGGGTGAGGGGTCCCCAGCGGGTGAGGGGCTCTGTCCCTCCAAGGGGCCGGTTGCGGTTTCGTGTTTACACACTGCAAAATGAAAACCATATTTGCTGCTGGAGATGAAGAAGAGATGTTTGGTGAGGAGCTGTGAAGCTGGGCTGCGGGGACAGCAGCAAGATGTCATTCACTGAGAGGTGGTTTCTCTGCACCTTTTCTCCAAGTCCAAGTGGTGTTCAGAGACCACCCACCAGCAGAGGGGCAAGATGCTCCTCTGTGGCAGCGTCCCAGGAAGAGATGTGGCTGATCCTGAGAAGGAGGGGACAAGTGTTCCTGCCTTCTGATCGGCCCTGCCAGCACCAAGAGCCCACAGGTGATGGTGGCAGCTGGTCTTTTGGGGCTGAGGAAATGTGTCTTCTGGGCACCATGCTGAGAGCAGCCCTCCTGTGACCCAAAGGGGGAGACCTGCAGGTCCAAGGCCTTGCACAAAGGACCTTCAGCCAGTGCTTGCACATCCTGGAAGGCCAGCTGCAAGGGTGTCCCAGGAGCCCTGTGATTTTCAAAGTGCTTTTTCTGCACTTTTCTGGGTATGTTATCACCTGTTTGAGTGATACAAAACAATCCTGGCCCTGACGGGATTTGTCTTCACCTCCTTTTAGCTGGGACTGGAAACTTTCATGACAAGTTAGGGGATCCTCTCCAGCAGAGGGAAAACAGTGTCTGTTTTTGCAGTAACTAATACAAAAACGCTGTGTAATGTGTCGAAAACTTGATTTCAGGGCAACCCAAGGCACCTCTGAGGTGCTCAATAGAGTGCAGCCGGTTCACGTCGGAGATCGCGGCGACGCGGATCAGGAGCTACCGCAGGACTGAGCCCCTCTGTGCCAAGGCAGCTGTGATGTGAGCCCTGCCCCACCTCCCCTGCTGCCCCACTCAGCATGGACCTGCCAGGGAGCACCCTTTGCTTTGGGCAGGGAGCAGTCTGGGAGCAGGGAGTCATAGAATCGTCCTGGTTTGACGGAACTTTGATATCATAGAATCCCAGGCTGGTTTGGGTTGGAAGGGACCTTAAAGATCATCCAGTCCCACCCCCTGCATGGGCAGGGACACCTCCCACCAGCCCAGGGTGCTCCAAGCCCCATCCAACCTGCCCTTCAACACTGCCAGGGATGGGGCAGCCACAGCTTCCCTGGGCAACCTGGGCCAGGCTCTCACCACCCTCACACCAAACAATTCCCTCCCCATGTCTCACCTCAATCTCCCTCTTCCAGTTTTAATCCCTTCCCCCTTGTCCTCTCCCTCCCTGCCCTTGTCCCAAGTCCCTCCCCAGCTTTCCTGGAGCCCCTTCAGGCACTGGAAGCTGCTCTCAGGTCTCCCTGGAGCCTTCTCTTCTCCAGGCTGAACACCCCAACTCTCCCAGCCTGTCTCCAGAGCAGAGCTGCTCCAGCCCTTGGATCATCTCCGTGGCCTCCTCTGGGCTCTGAACTCTCCTAAGTGAAACTCCTGGGCTGACCTGGGAAAGTCTTATCTCAGTAGCTCTGAGGGGTTTATCCCCATGAACACCTGCTCCTGGTGCCTGCAGAGCCTCCTGCTCTGAGCACTAGAGGCAAACACTGCATCCAAACATCAGGACAATGCTTTTGAAAGGGAAAAGCTTCCTACGGGAAAACCCTTTCACCCATGAGTCACATTCAGCTGCTCCTTGTACAATCAGAGCTTGGAGGCCTCACTAGAAGGGCCACCTGCCCTTCCTGAGATAAGTCATCCAGCCCACGTGCCTTCCCCATCCCCCTGCCTGGCTCAACCAGTCCTTTCTTTAGCCAGTAACTGATCCCTTTTCATTCTCAGATTGATTACTCTGAAGTCCCTGGAGATCTGTGCAGATCCAGAGAAAGACTGGGTGAAGAAGATCATAGAAAAACTGGACCAGAAGAAGGCTGCAACCTCCCCACGTCCACGTGCTGCCACCTCAGTGGCACCAGAAGAGCCTGGTGGTTTTGAGAAACATGTTGGTCTTGCAACAGGTCCATCTCAAGCCACTACTTCAACTAGTTTGTTCCAAGGCACTGGCAGGTCCCCACCAGCCATGGAGGACACCATCCAGCATCCTGCAGGATCATCCCCTGTGCCACAGGAAGACGCTGCCCACTCTGAAGTCACTCCAGAAGCAAACAGAGATTCCTTAAAATCTCCTACACCTTCAACAACTTCTGCAGCAGGTGTGGTCTCCAGCCAGCCTGTCCCACAGCCCGTGGCTCCTGGGCAGGGCTTTGGCACTGCTGTGAGATCTACAGCAGAACCTGAAGGACATACCACAAAAGTTCAGGATCTGAATCCTGGCTCTAATTCAGACTCCGTGGCCATTCCTAAAGGATCAGACCATGTTGTACTTTCTACAAGCAAGTGCCTGGAGCCTACAAGTGCAAGAGCCAACACACCAGACCCTGCTTCTAGCAGTTCTACTCCACACCCTCCCTCCATCCTGGGCAGCATGGAGAGCACAGTCCCAGCCACTCCAGTTCCACCAGCAACTACATCAGCTTCTGCTCTGAAGCCCACGACTGCTGCAGACACAGGTCCTTTTGTCCACACCAGCAAAGTTGCCAGTCCCTCTGCAGATACTTTTGGTACTAGAACACTTGATTATTCATCACCTGTAGGAGAGCAAGAGCCTCCAGACCTGTTGGTTTTTACCAGCCAAGCGTTCTCAGGCCGAGCCGATGATTATAGAGGGAACGAGCAGATGATTCCAGAAGGACCAAACAATCTCACTCCCCCCAGCTCCTTGTCAGCATCTCAAATGCACTTTGTCATCCCCATTGCTGTGGTGGGGGGGCTGATGGCTTGCTGTGTTGCTGCTGCCTGGCTGTATCTGAAGTTTGGAGTCAAAACAGAGGACATGTCAGGGGAGATGGTGAGGGGCTTGCTCTACCACAGGGAGGGACAGGAGCTCAATGTCTATCCAATGGAAGTGATCTGAGTGCTTCCTGGGATGGACCTTTTTGGCTTAAACTACACATGTTGCTGCAGGAAAGCCAAGTTTGTGCTGAACTGGTGACCAGCAGGAAGCAAGGCAGGGAAGGAGAATGCCAGAGAAAACTGATCTTTTTTATTTTTTTGCACAGCAAAATGTCCAAAAGAAACAGATCATCAGTCACTGACCAGGGGTGGCATTTGGGAAAGAAATGAGCTGATTTTTTTTGCTTCTGGCACTGTGATGTGCCATGGGTGCTCCTTGGTGGCTTTTTACCAGGTGGTGGGCAGAAGGGAACCTCAACCCCAACCTGCTGTGGGGGACTTTGCTGGTTTCATCGTGGCCCAGCTGAGGAGCCACCCAGTGCTGCAGTGGGGCTCAGCCAGCCTGAGCCACCTCGGCCCCAAAACCACACACTTTGCACTGAGCAAACTCTCTGCTGCTTCTTCCTTTGCACCTCAGGTCAGTGCTGTGTTAGACCCAGAGGGCTGCTGGTGGCCAGCTGGGTGCTGGCCCTCCTTGGGCTGGGCAAGCCCCCCATTTACTCTTGCTGGAGACACAAGGGGCAGCCTGGCTTTTCCATTAGAGGTGACAAAACCCACATCTGATCAATGGACTGAAGGTCAGTGCTACTGATTCCAGGTTCAGAAGAGCTGGGAACCCCACAGTCTGTGTCCTGCACCCATCTCAGACCACCTTTCTCTCCAACAGCTACGGGTGTTTCTTCTCCTGGGTTTGGTCTGAGACCTGGTTCTTGGCAACTCAACTGCAATAAACCCCTTCTCCCAGCTGACATGTCCAACACCAGGGCAGGGTGATGTGGAGGACCCTCTGCAAATCTGGGGAACAAGAAGTGTTTTTGCAGTTTCCTTCACACCATGGGAGAGGTTTTACTGTTCTCTGCAAGCTCAAACCAGACAACAGGTCTCTTGGAGGAGCTGAGTGCAATTCTGGGTTTAGTCATCTAGGAATTACCCCATCACAGCAGATACACCATCCTTCTGGTCTCATATTCTCTCCAAGCACGTTTGCTGATCCTCAAAAAAGCACAAAAAACCTGTTCATGGTCCTACAGTTTGGTTGTTCTTTGTACAACCTGCCCAGCAAAGCACCATGAACAGGCTCAGGCTTCTTGTAACCCAAACTTGGTCTTGATTTTAAGACATCTAGATGTTGCTCTGTGTAAATCTCATCTCCCAGCAGTGTGTGGTTCCTGAAAGCCCTTGCTCAACGTTGACTCCAGAATGAATTTTGCTGGAGCATGCAAAGGCCTTCACTATATGATGCTTTGTAGGTAGAGAGACATCCCAGGGGTCAGATTCTCCTCTAACCAAGCCCAGTGGATCAGATCCCAGAGCATAAATATGCATGGAGGGGAAAAAAAAAAGAAAAAAAAGAAAGCAAAACCACATAAAAAGCAAGAAAATTGAAGCAAAAAGGATGGGCCAGCTGTGAAGAAGAGCTGGAGTGAGATGACCCCCCATCCCACCACCCACCACGGAGGTGGAGAGGAGAGGCTGCAGCACTGGTTGGGTTTTGCCATCATTCCATCCCTTGGATTTTGGATGTTGTTGGTTTGAGTGAGGGGAGCCAGGGCTTCATCTGGGGCTCTGCCATCAGATGAACTGTCATCAGGAATCTGGGCTGGAAGCCCTTGTGCAGCAATCCTGTGCAGCCCAGCTGGGTCCCACCAGCTGGTGTCGATCTGCCTGGAGGGTTGGTGGCCTCGTGGGTCACAAAGTGGTGGTTATGGCATTATTTTTGTATGAAACACCAGAAATGGGTTTTTTTTGTAGTAAAGTTTTGTAGCCATTTGAATGTCTCATGTCCTGTCCTTGCTGCTGGAGGATGATGGAGTTGAGGCCTTTCTGGGAACACTGGGCTTTGTGCCCTTGCTGCTCTTGGATGGGCCTGTTGTCCATGGGAGCTGGGATGCTCCTGGCACTGCAGCAAAGGGAGGTGGCTCTTGGCTGGCTGGGGGTGGGAGCAATGCTGGGGAGATGAATGTGCACCAGGAACATCTGACCACCTTGTGTCCCACTGTGGTGTTTGTAAGGACATGGGTTTGACTCCATGGCCACCTCCCACCATCTTCCCTGCAGCCTGGATCCATCCTTGAGCCCACCTTGCTCCCCTCTCCTGCTCCCAGGCTGCCAGCAGGCAGGGTGCTGGCACCTCTCCTGGGGGGCAGGGGGGCTGCAGCTCCCCCTGGCATGTCTGGGAGGGCAGGAGGTGGATGTTGGCTCAGCAGGAGGGAGCCTGGGGGTGTCACCAGGTCCTGGGGCTTAACATGTCACTTGCTGCAGAGCACAGTGACAGCTCCAGGCTCTGATGTGGTTGTGGGGCTGTGAGTTGTGGCTGCAGGACAAGATCTGTACCTGTTCTAGCAGGAAATTAATAAAACCCTGATGTCAAGCTCCTCATCCTTGGGAGGCTCAGACAGGGTTGGGTGACCCAGCTGGGTCCTCAGGGTGGCACAGAGGTGACATGGGGTGATGAAGCACCTGGGGGGGCTCCTAGCACCTCCCAGAGGCAGCCAAGCTGGTTCAGCTGGTGACCTGGGTCTTGCCAGAAATTTCCAGGGAATGTGTTTTCTCCCAGGGAGCTGCATTTCCCTCCTGCCAAGAGGGAACCCAAGAGGGTTCTTTCCTCCTGGGAAGAACCAGATGGGATTTCACTTGGTTTAAGCAACACTGCAACCAACCAGGAACCCACAGGGAACAAATCTTCTGCTCCAAGTTGGTTCTGTGAGGGGGCAAGAAGCCAAGGTTTGAGCCAGGACCTCTCCCAGCCCAGCCAGGGCTTGGGCTGCCCTTGTGTGCTCCTTGGGAAAGGCCAACACAAGAACCAGTGTCCGGGGACTTGCCTGGAGTGGGGACCTGGATGGAGCCAGAGGGTCAGGGATGAGCATCTCCCCTGCATCCCAGAAGCCCTCATCCTAGCCCTGCCCTGGGGTCACACAGAGTGGTGGGGTTAGAAGGGATCCTTGGAGATCATCTAGTCCAACTCCCCTGCCAGAGCAGGATCTCCTAGAGCAGATCCCCCAGGAACACATCTAGGTGGGGTTGGAATGTCCCCAGAGATGGAGACTCCAGCACCTCCCTGGGCAGCCTGTCCCAGGGCTCTGCCACCCTCCCAGCTAGTTGGCTGGTTTGATTGACATTATGAGAAGGAGAAGGCCCTGGGGCTCCACAGGGGCCCAGCTCTGTGCCTGCACATCCCTGCACACCCATCAGATGACACTGCCAGGCCCTGAGGGCACTAATTGGCCTTAATCACCCTCACCAGCCCCACCCTCTGCCCAAGCCCCAGGAGCTCCATCTAAGCTCAGGTCTGAGCCTGCTGTGTTCTCAGGGTGCTGGAGATGTCCTGGCTCTGGTCCTGTCCCTTGGACAGACCTGGGAGCTGTGCTGCAGGTACCCTGTCTGGGGGGACCCTCCCCCTGTCCACAGCTCCTCCTGCTGCTGCTGACTGGTCACCCCAACCCTCCCAAAGGGGTCCTGGGTCTGGTTCCCCACTTGGGTTTCACTGCAGCTGTTGATGGGCCCTGGCTCTGGGGAACAAATCTTCTGCTCCAAGTTGGTTCTGTGAGGGGGCAAGAAGCCAAGGTTTGAGCCAGGACCTCTCCCAGCCCAGCCAGGGCTTGGGCTGCCCTTGTGTGCTCCTTGGGAAAGGCCAACACAAGAACCAGTGTCCGGGGACTTGCCTGGAGTGGGGACCTGGATGGAGCCAGAGGGTCAGGGATGAGCATCTCCCCTGCATCCCAGAAGCCCTCATCCTAGCCCTGCCCTGGGGTCACACAGAGTGATGGGGTTAGAAGGGATCCTTGGAGATCATCTAGTCCAACTCCCCTGCCAGAGCAGGATCTCCTAGAGCAGATCCCCCAGGAACACATCTAGGTGGGGTTGGAATGTCCCCAGAGATGGAGACTCCAGCACCTCCCTGGGCAGCCTGTCCCAGGGCTCTGCCACCCTCCCAGCTAGTTGGCTGGTTTGATTGACATTATGAGAAGGAGAAGGCCCTGGGGCTCCACACGGGCCCAGCTCTGTGCCTGCACATCCCTGCACACCCATCAGATGACACTGCCAGGCCCTGAGGGCACTAATTGGCCTTAATCACCCTCACCAGCCCCACCCTCTGCCCAAGCCCCAGGAGCTCCATCTAAGCTCAGGTCTGAGCCTGCTGTGTTCTCAGGGTGCTGGAGATGTCCTGGCTCTGGTCCTGTCCCTTGGACAGACCTGGGAGCTGTGCTGCAGGTACCTTGTCTGGGGGGACCCTCCCCCTGTCCACAGCTCCTCCTGCTGCTGCTGACTGGTCACCCCAACCCTCCCAAAGGGGTCCTGGGTCTGGTTCCCCACTTGGGTGTCACTGCAGCTGTTGATGGGCCCTGGCTCTGACCCTGCCAGTGAGGGCACAGCCTGTGCTGGGTCACCCATCTCCTCCCCAGGTCTGAGCCTGCCAGGGACCCACCTCTCCAAGCCCTGACCTCTCTCCAGGGTGATGTGTGATGAGCACTGTTGCTCCTGTGAAGCAGGGACCCTGCAGCCTCCATCATCTCTGGTTTGAGACTTGGACTGTGACTTCCCTCCCTCCTTGGCATGGTGGTTTTTTTCTGAGAGTTCTTGTCTAAATCCACTTGTTCTTAGGGCAGCCTGAGGTCAAGCTAAGGTACCACCATGTCCATAATGTGGCTCTGCAGAGTGCAGGAGGTCCTTGGGGCTTTGCTGGCTCTCCAGGTGCACAGCCAAGGCTCTGCTGGATGGCTGAGGTCCTTTCATGCTTCATGTTTGCTCAGTCTCCACTTTTAAGAGGACTATGTCCCTGCTGACACCACAGCAAGGGCTGCTTCTGTATCTGAAGTCCCCCACAGGTGGACTGAGAGGTTGTCAGGACTTGCCATGGTTCTGTCTCCTCAGTGACCATCTCGGGTGATGGGGGAAGATCCATTCCTGAAGCACCTGTGAATTCAGCCAGAAAGATCAAGGCCACAAAGCAAATAATTTGGAAAAGTCACAGAAAGGAGTGAGAGGAGCCCCCAGGGTCAGCCCACCAGCTCAGACCAGCTTCAGCTCTGAGTCTCCTTCATTACCTGGTGACCTCAGGGTGTCCCTCTCATCACAGTTTTGCAACTGAGTTTATTTTTTTGCTTGCTGGGGTTTGTCCTGATAAAAAAACAACTCAAGAACAAGTCAGTTCAGAACTTGTTCCAGCTCCTCAGAGCGACCAGGGCTCGTTCAGAATTAAATTACTAAAATGAGGCTGGAATTGCTTCTGTGTCCAGTTCTGGTCTGTGATCACACAGAGCTCTGAAGCTGAGCTGTGGCCCGGGGAGCTCAACAGAAGGTCAGGGCTGAAAGAGAAGAGGCTGGATCCTCACCGGGCACCCTGAGGTCTGCCTGGCATCAGGAGCCTCTCCAGCTCAGTGTCCCCTGGGAGCAGCAGCTCCTCCTGACACCCCCGATCTGTCTTCAAGGCAGGTGACCAACCTCACTGGAGAAGAGTGGAATAACATCTCCTCGTCCATGAGTTTGGGAAAACAGGATTCCACATAGTTGGGCTTTTTCCCCTTCCTTAGCAGAGTGGCTGTTTCCAGCTCCTGCTCCAGGCACACCCACCACGGTCTCCTCCTTGGCCATGGTGGTGAGGTTCCCTGCCTAGCCATGGGTGGGCTTCTGCTCCATCCCCAAGCTGCTGGCAGAGCTCATTCAGTGATTCCATGCAGATGGTTCCCCAGGGAAGGGCTCCTGGACACATCCTTCCCACAGCCTCCGTGCCTGGTGACTGGCACAGGATGTGTCTTGGATCACCAGCTGCCAGTGCTTGATGGGCCCCCGTGTCCAGCTGTAAGAAGCAGCCTTTGGAAGAGACTCCTGCTTTCCTCTTTTTGAAGTGTCTTCCCAGGCTGTAGGACCTGGATGAGCTCTGGCTCTGGGAAGCAATGAGAGCATCACCTGGGGTTTGTCATCATGTCCTGAGTCAAACAGCTCTTCAAAACTGAGCTGGGGACACCCTGGGGTGAGCACCCCAAAGACATCTGGAGGGGCTTCACACCCAGGAAGCTGAGGTTTTAACAGAAGTAAAACTAGAATGTGTCCTATTGTACATGGAGAAGACTCCAAGTGGCTGGGTAGGGCAGAAGGTAAGAGGGAAAAGCTGATTCCCAGCCCTCCTGAGGGACAGGTCCTGGGTACTGCCCAACCACCTCCCTCCTGCCTTGCCAGCCCAGTTTTCTGAGCAGGCCCACGTGTCCCAGCACAACCAGGTGGGCTCAGGCACCTGCTCAGATGCCACCTCCAAGCCTGGAGCTTCTGTCCAGCTCCTTCCTCCCCTCAGTGCCACGTGTTCTGGCATCTGAGGTGTCCCCCACAATCCTCCTCCTGCAGCAGCAGGAGGACACTCTTCATTTTTTATATAGACAAGCAGATTCTCCAGGGTCCCTTCAAATGAAAAGGGACACTTGGGCCAGCACTGGGGCTTCCCAGCACCACTCAGCTGGTCCCTGCTCCCCAGCCCTTCCCTGCACAAGAGGAACATACACTGAAGGGTCTCTGGGGAGCCCTGAACCATTTGGCTGCAACAGCGATGGCTTGAAATCCTGAGAAAGGAACAGCAGAACATTCCAGGCCATGTCTTCTGTCAGATGAGCCAGCTCAAGTCTGCCAAGCTGGACACCACTAGCATTTTTCCTTCTCAAGGTCCTCTCCAGCCAGAACCCTTCCTCCCTCCACCCCGTGCTTGGACACCCATCATGTGCTGTCCTGGCCTCCCTCCCAAAGCATCTTCCATAGCTGAGAAGTGCTTGAGTGAAGGCCAAGGCCAGAGGGGACATGCCATGGACTCCTCATGTCCCTCCTGGACTCTGTGGCTTTCCCACAGACCCATCTGGACGAAGGCAGAAGTTGCTCAAGTCTGGTCAGTCCTTCCAGACCCCATGTGACATGGAAATCCCCCGGGCTGAGGAACACAGAGAGGCTTTCACTTGAATTTGGTCTGAATTCTCCAGAAAAGAGCAAATGTGTGGAGTGGGTGGGGAGGATAAATGGGGCTGAGCCCAGAGGTATGGGTGGAAAACTTGTCCTGTTTGGAGGAACAGCCCAGAAGGTGACACAGGCTCTGGTGTTTGTTGACATCCTGCAGGCTGGAGCTGCAGAGGGGCTGGTGGCAGCAGCAGTCACTGCCTGTCCCTGCTCCACCAACCATCTCCAGCAGGTTTCTGTTGGCTCAGGGGCTGAAAAATGCCTTCTCTGCCTTCACCACCACAGCCAACCCATCTCAGGGGCTTGGAGGAGGATTCACTTCCCCCCCTGGACTCAGCAGTGTTCCCACAGACCCAGCAGAGTCAATGCAGAAGTTGCTGACGTCTGGTTGGTCTGGGTAGGTGTTGTCTTGGGTGGCAGCCCTGGAGATCCCACCCACCATGGAAATCCCCCGGGCTGAGGAACACAGAAAGGCTTTCCCTTTAATTTGGTCTGAATTCTCCAGAAAAGAGCAAACGCGTGGAGTGGGTGGAGAGGATAAATGGGGCTGAGCCCAGAGCTGAGCCCCTGCTGGCAGAGCCCTGCTGCAGCCACCATGCAGGGTGCCCGGGCTGTGCTGCTGCTGCTGCTGCTGCTCCTCAGCCTCTCCCCAGGCTGTGATGCAGGTTTGGCAGCTCCTGGAGCAGCACCAGGTGTTGGGGCTCCAGCAGGTCCCCCTGGGACCAGAGCAGGGCTGGTTGGGGCAGGGCTGGGTGTGCTGGGGCAGGGAGGTGGCCCTGGGGCTGGGCAGGGCGGCTGGAGCAGCTCCTGGGGCACCTTCTGGCCCGGGCTGGGATTGGGGCAGCATCTGCAGGGCTGGGGGGATGTCGTGGGTCCTCAAGGCTGCCCTCACCATCTCTGTCTTCTCCAGGCTTTTTCTCACCCATGAAGTGCTGCCTCAGTTACATCAACTCCCCTCTCCGGTTGGCCAACCTGAAGGGTTTCTACAGAACTCCTATGGAATGTCCTTTGCCGGCCGTTGTGTAAGTCCTGCTGATTCCTCCCCACCAGTGGGTTTACAGCTGTGGTTTCTCACCAAGCTTCACCTTCCATCTTGGCAGGTTTGAGACCGGGAAGGGGATGGAGGTCTGTGCAAACCCAAAGAAGACTTGGGTGAAGGAAGCAGTTGAGGAGCTACAAAAAAAGAACTTCCCTGCCCCATGATGGAGAACAGGTGCCCTGGTGGTGAGGGACAACACTGGCTCCCCAGCCCCGTGTCCAGCAGGTGGGCACCAGCTCCTGGGGTGCTCCCTGCCCTGCCCACCCAGCACAGCCTCCAAATAAAGGTTTACTTCAAGTGATGTTGGAGACCAGTGTCCTTTCTTCTCCCAGCACCAGGAGCAGCTCCTCAGGGATCCCTGCTGGGATCCTGCTGGGATGGGGAGGGGGCCTGGGAGGGCAAAGGGAGAGAACTTGTGGGTTGAAGGCAGTTGAAGGGGTCAAGGCAAAGCTGAGCCCACAGGTGAAGGAACAAAAGGGACCTGCTCCCTTGTCCCCACCAGTGGGAGGTGACCAGGGCAGGTAAATGCTACCACTCCAAACGTCCCCCCACTTCCTTCTCCTTTCCCCAGGACAATTTAGTAAGGGGGGAAAAAAGAAAACAACCCAAACACTAACAAGGAAGCCACCAAAAAACGCAGCCAGTGATGCAAAAGCATCTAGAACCACCAGCAGGACAATGTCCAGCCTGTCCCAGCTCCTGGGAACGGGAATTTCAGCTGCAGCAGCTCCAGGGAGGCTTCCACAGCACAGGTCAAACCCACCCAGCACGGAGGGACAGCCCTGACACGCTGTGGGTCTGGGAACCAGAGGTCCCGTGGGCACCGAGAGGCAGGGAGGGATCTCTGGGCTCCCCAGGAGGTGCTTCAGCTCCAGAAAGTGCTCTAAGCAGTTTCCTCTTCAGCTGCCTGCAGGGCACGGAGACACCCTGAGGTCCTGGTGCCCTCTCCTGACAGCTGTGCAGGGCTGTCCCCAGAAAGCAGGTCCCAGGTTACCCAGACCTCCCCACAGGTCCCAAAACTGCTGTCTCAGCCAGGTGTCCTTCTCTGGGGCTGAGTCTGGACCCTCTGCTGATGCACATGATGGTTTATTTTGGTCCTGCTGACCCAATTTAGTGGCTAAAGCTGAGTTCCCAGTGACTACAGCCCTTGGCTCCCCTGCCTGGGAGGTGGTGGGGCCTTGGTGGCTTGTTGGGCTCGAGGGTCTGTGCATGGGGGATGTGGCAGGAGCTGGGAAGGGGAAGGTGGGAGGTGCTGGGGGGTGCAGAGGCTGCAGAAGGAGGCCCAGAGGTGTATGGGGAGGTTCTCTCTGCAGAGCCCTTTTCTGGGAAAACGTGGCTTTAGGAACCAGCAGTGACCTGCTCAGCTCTCCACCATGGCCTGTGACAGGCCACCAGACCCTGTGTCCTGCAGACTACACCTTCCACCCAGAGCTGCCAGCATATCTGACTCGACTCCTTCTCCTTTCTCCTTCCAGAGAAGTCAGGCAAACATGAGATAATCTTCAAGGAAGTTGGGTTCCACCTTCCTCCTCCTTGAGAAGCCCTGTCTTGCCTCATCCCCAAGCCACAGCCAGGTCCATCCTGTGCTCCCACTCACCATCATCTCACATGGTGCCCCTGGGTCCTCACCACCCCCACCAGGCAGACCCCAGCAGCATCTGGCATTCCCAGGAGCAGATCTCTGCGTGGGAGCTGGGCTGCCTGCTCCCTTGTCCCCACCAGTGGGAGGTGACCAGGGCAGGTAAATGCTACCACTCCAAACGTCCCCCCACTTCCTTCTCCTTTCCCCAGGACAATTTAGTAAGGGGGGAAAAAAGAAAACAACCCAAACACTAACAAGGAAGCCACCAAAAAACGCAGCCAGTGATGCAAAAGCATCTAGAACCACCAGCAGGACAATGTCCAGCCTGTCCCAGCTCCTGGGAACGGGAATTTCAGCTGCAGCAGCTCCAGGGAAGCTTCCACAGCACAGGTCAAACCCACCCAGCACGGAGGGACAGCCCTGACACGCTGTGGGTCTGGGAACCAGAGGTCCCGTGGGCACCGAGAGGCAGGGAGGGATCTCTGGGCTCCCCAGGAGGTGCTTCAGCTCCAGAAAGTGCTCTAAGCAGTTTCCTCTTCAGCTGCCTGCAGGGCACGGAGACACCCTGAGGTCCTGGTGCCCTCTCCTGACAGCTGTGCAGGGCTGTCCCCAGAAAGCAGGTCCCAGGTTACCCAGACCTCCCCACAGGTCCCAAAACTGCTGTCTCAGCCAGGTGTCCTTCTCTGGGGCTGAGTCTGGACCCTCTGCTGATGCACATGATGGTTTATTTTGGTCCTGCTGACCCAATTTAGTGGCTAAAGCTGAGTTCCCAGTGACTACAGCCCTTGGCTCCCCTGCCTGGGAGGTGGTGGGGCCTTGGTGGCTTGTTGGGCTCGAGGGTCTGTGCATGGGGGATGTGGCAGGAGCTGGGAAGGGGAAGGTGGGAGGTGCTGGGGGGTGCAGAGGCTGCAGAAGGAGGCCCAGAGGTGTATGGGGAGGTTCTCTCTGCAGAGCCCTTTTCTGGGAAAACGTGGCTTTAGGAACCAGCAGTGACCTGCTCAGCTCTCCACCATGGCCTGTGACAGGCCACCAGACCCTGTGTCCTGCAGACTACACCTTCCACCCAGAGCTGCCAGCATATCTGACTCGACTCCTTCTCCTTTCTCCTTCCAGAGAAGTCAGGCAAACATGAGATAATCTTCAAGGAAGTTGGGTTCCACCTTCCTCCTCCTTGAGAAGCCCTGTCTTGCCTCATCCCCAAGCCACAGCCAGGTCCATCCTGTGCTCCCACTCACCATCATCTCACATGGTGCCCCTGGGTCCTCACCACCCCCACCAGGCAGACCCCAGCAGCATCTGGCATTCCCAGGAGCAGATCTCTGCGTGGGAGCTGGGCTGATGCCCACCAGCAGCCTGTGGTCCTGCCACTGGGGTCTGTGCCACCCATCCCTCCTACCCCCAGAGTCCCTCGGGGTTGTGGTTGGGTTTGTCCCATCTCCCTGCAGAAATGACCCATCTGTGCATTGATGACGTGTCTGATGATCACCAGTGCCCGTCCCTCTGACCTTCACATTTTGATCCCACCACAGGTGTAGAAGCACCAAATCTTCCTGGGATCAGACCTGGGATCAGACCCGGACTCTCCTCAGATGCCCCACTGCTGTTGCTCCATTTTCTTCCCGTTCCACAAAGGCTCCTGGACCCACCAAAAGCACCTCAGCCGTGTCCTGCTCCTGGATCTTGCACAGATCGGTCAAGTGGGGCTTTTTCTCATAGAATCACACAAAGATTTGGGTGGGAAGGGACCTTCAAGATCACCCAGTCCAACTCCCCTGCATGGGCAGGGACACCTCCCACCAGCCCAGGCTGCTCCAAGCCCCATCCAACCTGCCCTTCAACACTGCCAGGGATGGGGCAGCCACAGCTTCCCTGGGCAACCTGGGCCAGGGACTCACCACCCTCACACCAAACATTTTCCTCCTCATGTCTCACCTCAATCTCCCTCTTCCAGTTTTAATCCCTTCCCCCTTGTCCTCTCCCTCCCTGCCCTTGTCCCAAGCCCCTCCCCAGCTTTCCTGGAGCCCCTTCAGGCACTGGAAGCTGCTCTAAGGTCTCCCTGGAGCCTTCTCTTCTCCAGGCTGAACACCCCAACTCTCCCAGCCTGTCTCCAGAGCAGAGCTGCTCCAGACCTTGGTTCACCTCCATGGCCTCCCATGGACTCACTCCTGGAGCTCCGTGTCCTTCCTGTGTTGAGGGCTCCAGACCTGGACACATTTTTCCTGCCTGAAGACATCCCACCCCATCCAAGCCCATCCTCGTGCCTCACTGTGTGCCCAGCGCCCTCAGGATGGTCAGGAGGCTGGGGAGGCTGGTTTGGAGGGGTTACTTGTTCATCACTTGCCTTGAACGACTCAGAGCAACCAGATAATCCTGCCCATGACCTGTTCCTGCTCAGAGGTTTTGGGTTGTCTCGCCAGGTGGGAAGAACCAGCCAGCGTGGGACTCGGTGTCTCGCCCACGCGGGCGGTTGTTCCTCCTCCTGCCTGGGACATTTCGGTTCCTCTGGGGCTCCTTGGAGCCTGGTGGCTCTTCTGCAGAAAGCAGAAGTGACTGACCTTCTCCTCGCCCTGACGTGTCCCCAGAATAAACAAGGACAAAAATACCCTTGTCCCTGGGCAGGGGATTCTTAGAACACGGCCAGAGTTTTGTGGAAAAGCGTCTGAGGTGGGTGGCCCAGGGAGGATAAAGGCTGGATGGTGAGAGCCAAGGCCACCAAGTCTGGGCAGGACAGCACCAAGAAGGATGGAGCAGAGCCCTCCCACCTCCACCACACTGCCTGCAAGGACAGTCTTGCTGCTCACCATGCTCCTCTCCTTCTCCTGGCACCTCACTGCAGGTAAGACCCCTCATCCCACTAGGGAGGTCCCCATGGGGTCTCTTTCTCTCAACAAAAGGACCTTGATGAGGAGTGGGGATGGAGCAACCCCTAGTTGGGCTGGACCTTCTGGGTGCAGGGGAGGGTGGAGATGGCACCTGGAGCCAGGTGGCCTTGGCCAAGCTGGCTGAAGGCTTGTGGTGTGGGGTGAGCTGTGTTCTGGGGAGGTTGCTCTGCAGAAGAGACCTCAGGGGCTTGGGGAGATGCTGCAGGAGTTTGTAGGAGACCCTGGCATGGCAACAGTTCCCCAGGTCTCAACTGGATGAGCTTGAGCTGGTGGGGTAGGGAGCACAAGCAGCTTGCAAGTTGTGTCCTCACCTTGGAGACCTCCAAAACCCCAGTCTGAGCAGCCCAACCTCCCCATGCCCAGAGGCAGAGCAGCAGCAGGGGCTGTAGGGTGCCAGGGCCTGTGCTGGCCCCATGGCCACCACCCTCCAGCTGCCCCAGCCCTGGTCTGCTGCCACCAAAGGAAAGACCTCCCAGCCTTGGGATGCTGTGGGAGACACCCAGGAGCTCCACACCCTGTGCTCAGCATCCCACGGTGCCCTGCTCAGGTTGTCACAGGTGCCTCCAAGGGTGTTGACCACGTCTCTCCTTTCCCTCCCCAGCCCCTGCTTCCCCCACCGAGTGCTGCTACAGTTATGCCCAGAAACGCATCCGGCACGTGCAGAGCTTCTACCGCACGTCCAGTGACTGCTCCTTGCCTGCAGTTGTGTGAGTATCCTGGGCTTCACCTCCCACCCCAGCACAGCTGGGAGCAGGGGCAGTTCCCTCCATCCCCGCTGTCCCCAGCTGGGATCATCCCTGGGAAGGGCTGTGGGAGGAGAGGAGCTCTATGGGGTGGTCGGGGGGGGGCAAAAATGAGGTGGTCCCAGTGGTCTGGGAAGACTCGATGTGTCCCATCAGCCCTGCATGAGGAGGCTGCTGGAGATCATCTCCAGACCTCCATCCATGATGGAGCTGCACAGAGAGGCACAGGATCACAGGATGTCAGGGGTTGGAAGGGACCTCCAGAGATCACTGACTCCAACCCCCCTGCCTGATCAGGACCCAAATCAGGGCAGGTCACTCAGAAAGGCATCCAGACAGGGCTGGGAAGGCTCCAGAGAAGGAGACTCCACCACCTCTCTGGGCAGCCTGTCCCAGGGCTCTGTCACCCTCACAGCAAAGAAGTTCTTCCTCATGTTGAGGTGGAACTTCCTGGGCTCCAGTTTGAATCCATTTCCCCTGGTCCTGTCCCAGGGCACAAGTGACAAGAGCTTGTCCTGCCTTCTTGCTGCCCTCATGTATTGAGAGACATTCATTAGATCCCCCCTCAGTCTTCTCCTCTGCAGACTGAGCAGAGGCAGAAGCAGAAGCACATCATGGCTCTCAGGTCAGGATCTCACCTGGTTCCTCACTTTCTCACTGCAGGTTTGTGGCTGCCAATGGGGATGAGATCTGTGTGGACCCCAAGAACACCTGGGTGAAGAAAGTAATTAAAATATTAAGTCCCCATTCTGTCTCAACCATCCCACCCACCCATCGGGTCCTCCGGGATCTGGAGGGAGCAGATGGAACTCATGGAACTCATGGAAAGGGTGGGGTGGAGGGCACCCACCCCACAGATGGAGCCAGCCCGTACCCTACTGGGACCAGGTGTCCCACCAGCACGGACCAGGCTGGTCACCCAGTCCCTCCCACTGTCACTGCCCTGCCAGGGTGTGCCCAGCAGAGCTCGTATTTATAATAAAGCCTCATTGCCACAAGCTGCTCTCTGAGTTGTCCTTGATTCTTCTACCCAAGAAGCAGATCCTACAAGCACAGGCATGGTGGGACCAATAACCCCCTTGGCCACAGGCACAGGTTTCTCCAGGCCAGCAGAAGCTTCTCACCACCCTCCCACTAAAGAGTTTCCTCCTCATGTCTCACCTCAATCTCCCTCTTCCAGTTTTCATCCATCCCCCTTGTCCTCTCCCTCCCTGCCCTTGTCCCAAGTCCCTCCCCAGCTTTCCTGGAGCCCCTTCAGGCACTGGAAGCTGCTCTAATGTCTCCCTGGAGCCTTCTCTTCTCCAGGCTGAACACCCCAACTCTCCCAGCCTGGCTCCAGAGCAGAGCTGCTCCAGCCCTTGGATCATCTCTGTGGCCTCCTCTGGACTCTCTCCAGGACCTTCATGACCTTCCTGTGTTGGGGGCTCCAGACCTGGACACAGTTCTCCAGGTGGAGTCACACAGATGTGCACAAGAAACCCCAAAACAACTGTACCAGGTTCTGCAGTGACTCTTCTGGCAGCTCAGTGGTTCAAGTCAGCTTGGTCACCACTAGACAGCCAGGTTGGTCTTTCTTTGTATCTCCTGAGCTGGTTTTATTTTGGATAATAATTAGGGAGACTTTGCATCTTCTAAGCATCAGGCTCCCCATTTCTCCATGAGGAGATCTCCCATCCTGTACTTGTGCCATTCCAACACCCAGGAGGAGCTGGTTCCCATAAACATGGTCTCTCCCAGCCCCATGTGTGATCTCCAGGCAGAGCTGCTCCCTTAGTTAATCTCTAATACCTCACTTGCCATTCCACTGCCACCGTTCAGAATTGACTCTTCCCTCTGCAGACCAAGGATATGAAGGTCTTTCCTGCCAGACAAGAGGTAAATCCCACCTTTCATTTGGAACTGAGATTGGGTCTTGACAATAAGCAATGGATGTTTAACAGGAGCCTCCTGTACTCTGCTTGACTCTACTAGACTCCACTTTAGTCAACTCTATTAGGTTGCCTCTCCTCTCCTCTCCTCTCCTCTCCTCTCCTCTCCTCTCCTCTCCTCTCCTTTCTCCTCTCCTCTCCTTTCCTCCCATCTCTTCAATGACTTTTCCCTTGAGAGTTATTTCCAGCCCAGGATAACTGTTTGTAGTTTAAACCTGTTCTCAGGTTCCTTCTAAAGACAAAAGAGGGAGAAAAGCAAGAGAAGACATTTCAACCAAGTCCTTTCTCTCCCACTGTGCAAAGTGGGTGCCCCATCCCTGGAGGTACAAGTGCCCCTCTCTTGGTGACCTCAGCTGCCCTGTGTGTGAGCCCTGCAGGTTCTCAGCAGCAGAGGCACCTCCAGGGCAGCTCCATGTGCCCCTCAGGTGTGTCCTGCAGCCTTTCTTCCCATGCTCACCTGCAGCCACAGTGCTGAGTCTCATCTCCATAGCTGAGCTGCACCTGGAGCACAGAATCACAGCATGACAGGGGTGCCACCGCAAGAGCGGCTCCTTGTGCCCCTCAGGTGTGTCCTGCAGCCTTTCTTCCCATACTCACCTGCAGCCACAGTCCCTACCACCTCTGACCATTGTGTGATTCTCCTGTGAAAT